AAGAAGAAGAGAGATTAGTGTTGTTCCTTTTTAGTTGTAGGTACTTTATTGTTGATTTTAAAAAGTAATGCCTCTGCTAATGGTATCCACCTTTTAGTGGTTTCTATTTTTCTGCTTATGTTTTCGTAACCCTTCGTAGATATGAAGAGGCTAAGGCAAAAGGCATCAATAAGTATGATAGAGAGTTGGAAGATGCTTTTGACAGGCTCATTGTTGAGTGTGATAGGAAGATTGGTAGAGCTCTCAAGCACCTTGAGGATGAGGATGTGAAGGCTGCTATTGCTATATCAGTCACTGAAGTTACTCAGGTTTTGTATAAGTTTCTGGTTCACTTTTTGTAATTTGATCTGGCTGACCTTTCCCCTCCTTGGGACTTAATGATTTATTTTTTATGTTGATGCTATTGACACCAGAAGTACTAGAGCTTTCAGAGCAGATTAAGGGGAAATTGAAGGAAGCCAACCAATATGGTATCTCTTATTTGCACTGGATTGTGTCTTAATTGGGCTCTGTTTCTCAATTATAGCTGAAAACTTTTTCTTTTGAGATAATATTTATTTATTTATTTTTTTCTGCAAAGTCGTATTAACATAGTAAGCATGTAGCTTCATTTTTCTTTTTTTTTTTTTATCATATTTGCTTTTATTATACTGTTCTTTTCCTTGATGGTTTGCATTATGACTTATTTGCAGATATTTGTTTTTCCATATCTGCTCAGCTCCCTGCCAGAGAGGAGCATGTTCTGGATTCCTCAAAACATACTGCTGCTGATGTTCACATTGTGAGTCCTGTATTTCTTTCTTACAGTATCATAGAAAGGAAAAGTTGACCCATTTAAGAAAAAACTAGATATGAAAACTTAGACGTACTGTGACCTTACAAGGAAAATGTGGAATTTAATTTGTGTAATTAATGCATGAACAGCCAGTCACCTTCTGTAAGAGATTTCATGCAAATAAGGACACAGCCTTTAATACTTTTCTAATTAAGGATATGACCTTTTTCCTTACTTGCAGAGGTCATATCCTTTAGAAACTTTGAAAGGTGATAGCCTTGATTAGTAAAGAAAAAAGGTCATATCCTTAATTAGAAAAGTTTTGAAAGTTGTACAAAATCTCCTTTGATTTTAGTCACATTCGTTTTAGTCCATTTATAGAGTAATATTTCATCTGTACTAACCATTTTGATCTAATGTTATTTCAGACCGATCAAAAGCTACGGGTTTGTGACATTTGTGGAGTATTTTTGAGTGTTTATGACAGGTACCTTGTTTATCCTCTACTCCCTGGTCATAACCTTTTATCTTAGCTTTCTGAAGGCTTTGAAAAGTTAGTGTTTGGGGTTTCAAGTGCTTCAGCTTTTGACCCGACTATTATACCTCCTGGTTACCAGCAGGCTTTTGGGCCCAGTTTTACAAGGATAACTTTTGCAGCTACATAATGTGCATCTTTTTCTGTTTTATGTGCTTGTAGATCTCGCAATTGTTAGATAATAAACATTTAGGAAATTGTACAGTGCAAGCTCCTGTAACTTTTTCTATTTTCTGGGTAAAAGTGTTTTGATTTTTCTTGTTCATTTCAGTGATTGACGTTTAGCAGATCATTTTGGAGGCAAACTTCATTTAGGCTACATGCAAATCCATGATAAACTAGCAAAGCTTCAGGTAAGATTATTTATATGCTATGGTGGCTTTGCTTTGCAAATTACATTGGGGTAGGAAGTCCCTGCGATCCAAGATTTTGGTTTTACAGATTGCCCGACCTTTTATTCACATGCTATGCGCATTCAGCTTTTCTTTTCTTTTTCCCTTTTTTTAAAAATAAAATTAATCAGACCTTTATTTATTTCCTTTGCCTATTGGATTTTAGTATAACAGCAAATTAAATGCTTTTGTGCTTGGTAGGTATCTCTATTCTTCTATTGATCTTTTCCAGATGTCCTTAGGTTTGTATTGTGAATATGTTGGTTCAGGTGCTGGTATAATATTTGACATTCTTCTATAAAAATTCTTAGCTAGTATCATCTGTGAGTTTTTCTGACCTTGGAGAAGAATATTATGCCCCGTTGTCTAATTTCTTTTGATTGCTTGTATTTGCTGGACTTTAAAACACAGCATTTTCTACCTTGTCTGTGCATATTTGGTTTAAAATGCATTATGAAATGTTGTGGTTCTCAACCAATTTTTGCAGCTCAGTTTTGTCTGCTGAAAGCGGGAAAGAAAGTGTAAAATATGAAATCAAATAAGATAGAAAAAGTAGAAGAGTAGAAGAAATGATTTTGTTCTGGGCATTTGAAGAATAGAGGGAAAAAGGGCTCTTAAAATCTGATGATAAACCTGAAGGATGGAAGGCCTGGTTTGGTCAAGTTAAGCTGCCTATTGATTATGCCTACCATTTAAGTCTGACCTAATAGTCTTGTGGTATGTTATATCTAGCTAAATTGAGGAGGCATTTATTTTTTTAAAAGAAGCATTAAGCAGCACTTCTTATTAATTAACTTTTGTCAGGAAAAGAGAAACAAGAGCCACAAACTTGACCGATATGATGAGAGGAGGTAATCCTCATTTTTTTTCCCCACTTTTTTCCTTTGGATAATCTGTAAACCATCAGATAGAGAGGGGATTTTGTGATATCTTTTTTTTCCTTGGTGGTGCATGGATCAAAAGAAAGAATTAGAGATCATGAGAGAGAATCCAGTCATGACCAAGACCAAGCTGATAGTTGTGACCGAGGGAGGGATTATGATTGAAGGAGCAGAGATTGTGACAGGTACAATGATCGAGAACGTGGTAGGGATTATGAGTGCTCTCGGACTTATGATTCTAGAAGTCACGACAGGTCATGTTCAAGGTCTAAGGAATGTTCCAGGGATTATGGTCGTCACAGGTACTTTTTTCTATTTGTTTATGGTTTTTTAAAGTTCATTTTCACATGGACTCGTGTATGAGTCTCCTGCCATTATTGGTTCATTTTTGTAATTCTATATGTGCTTGTTTACATGTCAAATTGATGCATGGTTGGATCATATGTATGCTTCTTATCATATTCTTCACTCAACTACCTGTAGGTCATTTCATTATTTTCACAAAGATCTAACTACCTTAGGTAAGTTTTATCATAGTGGAAGTGTGGAATAGAGGGTATAGGTTAGAAAAGTTTTGAATTGCTTGGTGGAATGATTTTCAAACAGGATTTTGTTAAAGGTAGGGCTGTAAGAAGCCATGCTTCTCTTAACAAGTTGAACTCAAAATAATAATAACCCCAGTTTGTATTTGGTTTCTTTTAGTTAAGTGAGTTGGCTTAAACATTTTAGTGCTTGGCCTGAGAATTAGGCATTCCTTGCTTGTTTAACAATATATCATTAATTTTGTTTTCTGATGATTTTTTTAGCTTGTCGAATTTGTGTTAAGTTAGTATGCTATTAGTTTTCTGGTGTAAACTGTGCCAAAGCTGACTTCATGATGAGGTTTTCACCATTGTTTTCAAATTTCATGCTGAACTCTAGCTAACATTTGAGTCTAAGAAGAAGCTGAGTGCAATATAAAAGCCAGGGACAATCAAATTTAATATATTCAAGGATTTGAGCATCCTCTATGGGCTAGATTCTGTCACGCAAGAGACTCTCACCTGAGCCTCCACCTTTATTTTTTGATGTTCTAAGCTAAATAAGCTAATTACAATTGTTTCTACACTTAAAAAAGAGCCAAGACTAGTTCATTTTGAGGTTTTATGATTCTTTTAAATCAACTTTGAGAGAAGTAATGAGCTTGAGTTGGAGATTGAGCTCAAGTTTTTATGTTCGTCGAGCTTGAGCATAGTATTAGGTGAGTATTGGATTGATTTACTCTAGATAAAACTTAAAAGTTAAAAGGGCTCCCTTGGGTAATTCTTGAATGGGTGCTGAAAAAGGACCTTAACCAAATGTATTGGTGCAGATAAGCATGGGGATAAGAGTTCTATTAAAACAGTATTAAATGCTATGATTGGTTTCTAATATTGTTTCATTAGTTTTGGAATATAGAAATATAGAAATGGCTGTAAATCCTGCATGGACACATAACGATTCAAGGGTTGTGGTTTGGCAAACACCAGTAGATTTGAATGCTGTTTTTGTTTACACATTAAAAAATTCCTGTAAATCCTTTAATTTTATCACACAAGTACCTTTAGTTTCGTTTGAGCTTGATGATCTGACAAGGGGATGTCATTCCTTAAGTCACTAATATTTTGTTTCATGATGCAACTCTCTCTGTGTGTGTTTCTCACCAAAAGATTTTAGTTCTTTATTTGCTGGGATTTGAATGCTAACATTCCTTCAGTAACTAACATTTTGTTAGGCTATTTTCCTATTTTTCTTGCTTGAATTTATTAAAATTTTCTTTGCTGATACTGATTATTCTTGAACTTTACTCTTCCTTTTAATCAGACGTGATCAGTACTAGATGATTGTTGCCAGGAAGCATATGAATATGAAACTTTTCTTGCTTAGGTAGGTAAATGCATATAGGAGTAGTATAACTTGTGTTTGCCCAAATTAATGTTTTTCTCAGTAAGTTGGATAGTTCCTCCGGTGGACGTATCAACATGTTTAATTAACAGGATATTTGTTACTTGTGACTTGGCTTTGATATTATTAGGTATATATATTGCTATTCCAGTTGAAAATGACTAAGTTATCTAAAATGACTAAATGAAAATTAATACAAGGCTGCATGCATGGCAGTTTGAGGTTTGAATTGTTGTTTTTTGCTTCGAGAGCGTTATAGTAAGTTGTTAAGCATTTGAATGGATTTTAAAGAAATTGAATGGACCTTAGAATTTATTCCCTCCCCTCTAATTTCTCTTTTTAACCAAATAAAACCCCCTCACTCCGCCAATTTCTCATATCTAAGTAAGGTGTCTCATATTCCTTTAGTCTGCTCGGTTTGAGAGAAACAGATGGAAGGGAAGGGGGAGGGGTTCTTATTTCCTCTAACCAAATTAGGTTGTGGGTCAACAAAATAATTTGATTGGTTATAATTATTTTCCCTCTCCTCTCCTTAAACCAAACTGTTAATTTATTTCATTCAGTCCAAACAAACTCTTCCTTTTTGTGAAAGACAAACAGATGTGAACCTAAAATGAAAGGAAAATTCTGGAAATGGCTTGTAAGTTTTGTAACTGCATGGAGCTCTCTATAATTCATTCATTTTTCAGATTCTTAGACAGAGTATTGGTTGACAGATATATATTCAACCAAATACATCAAATACATCAAGATTACAGTAGAAAAGTGGAGTAGTTTATCTAATCTAATACAGCACTGAGATGGCTATGGTAGATTTCCTAGAAAAAGAAACTGACAAGCACACTGACTCCGTTACATTTAAACCTAGTATTACAAAAGAACTAACAAGGATCAAGGAAAAAATTCAGGTTCTTCAGCACTTTTTTAAGATGCCCATTTACAACTCGGTCCCATTCTGGTCCTGTGTCCTGGAATATGCTATGTAAGTAATGTGTGTGTCATCTACAACCCCTACAATCTCAGTATAATTCCCTGTCTGCAATATCTGAGTAAACTGTTGTTTGAACTGGCTGCAATATTCTCTTTTCAGAGAAGCTCAAGGTCAAGGGAAACCACCTGGTACTCCACCTATGATATAATCTAAAGGGTTTATCAAGCTTGAACAACACCCAAATGCCCGATAGGATTCATCGAAAAGGGAAAAAAATAAAAAATAAGAAAAACTCGTCAGTTAGTGATCTCATAATTTTCAATCAAAAGGACAAATACCTAGATATTTAAAAATATAGGTTGCTTGGTGTGTAAAATGAAGAGTTGTTTAGAAAAGGGATATGAGAAATCTATAAAACTAGAAAAACTTATGATATTTTGAATTAATGCATGGTTTCACTTAAGAGTATGTTTGATTTGAGAGAAATAGGGAGGAGAGGAGAAAAATGAAGGATTAAAATTTCATTTAGTATGATTATAATTTTTTATTTTTAGTTGTGATTTTCATAATTCTTAGAACTATCGAAAATTAAAATTAAAGATATGTTTAAAATAAATTTTAACACTGACAAGTAAAAATATGATTTTCTTTAATAGTACTAAAACTATTTTTGTTCTTATTTCCTTAATAATCATAAAAACATGTTACAAAATTAAATGAGCTTTTTTGTTGAGAAATGTAAAATTTATAAAAATCAAAACAAAAAACCAAGAACCACAAACATGCTCAACAAAGGTTAGATTAACCTTCTATTGTCTCTGTTGAATGAAAACAAAACTAAAATACCATTTAAATGTAAATTAAAATACATGACATAATTGATACACAAATCACATCTCTTTTTTGAATCAAGATACACAACAAATTAAAATGATCTCTTTCACACAATAAAACAAACAAAACAAGAAAAATGAAACGAAATGGTCTCTAATGGTTTCCAGAATTAACTACTTGATAATCATGTCACATGAATTTAAGAAATTGAAGATTCTTTTGAGTGCCAAAGCAATGTGGGAACTTGGTGGCACAAAAATTTAGCATCTTGCGAGTGTGCGATTAAAACCTACAAGGAAATGAGAAATCATCATTAATACATATAAAATGATTATAAGATGAAATAGAGAGTGCAACATCCATATGAATGGAAAGGTAAATAAGACAAATGTA